AAAAAAAAAAAAAAAAAAAAAAATTGAGAAACGATTGAGTGAACGAGAGACTCACCGCGAAGCTACAGATCTGAAAGCTCGAAGCCTTGCAGCGTATTTGGCCGGGGGGGCTTCCGAACCGGGTCGGTTAGGGTTATCGGGTGAAGTTATTGGAGTGGAGAATCCTCAACAGAATCCGGCTCTTAAAAGAAAGAAAACCTCCGTGTGTGTGTGTGTGTGTGCATTGCGCTTTTGGACCCTACGTGGCAGTTGAGTTCAGTTCACTTGTGCCACGAGGTTGTGCCACGCGTCCGGCCAATAGGAATTCGACTTGTTGGCGAGTGTTGTGTTGTGTTGTGAATATTTTATTGTTTGTGACAAGATTCATATCTATTTGATACGCTGTTATTCTTCGATCAAAATTCTAGTGTTGAATTCGACTCATTGGAGAGTGTTAGTGTTGTGTGACAAGATTCATATCTATTCGAAACGTTGTTCTTCGATCTTTTGACATTCTTTCTAGTGTTGAATTCGACTCGTTAGAGAGTGTTGTGTTCAGTGGCGAAACCAGGATCCCGTTTCGGGAGAGTCCAATTTGTCTTTGAAAAAAGAATTTCACGACAAAACCAAACACAAACACAAATTTTCTCCGATCCAAATTTATGGTTCGTGACAAGATTCATATATATTCGAGACGTTCTTATTCAATCTTTTGATGTTCTTTCTAGTGTTACATTTGAACTCTTTTTTTATACATATCTAGCTTCAAGCAAGGCTTGCCGTAAGAGGCGGGTTGAGGTGTAGCGTCTAGATCACCTACATTTACTAATTGGAACCTAAGTAGGGTCGTAAAACTATTAATAAACTTATTTATATTTAAAATCATGCATAACTTACAACTTTATCTTTTAAAATATACTAATATGGTTAAATACATTATTATATCTTTTAATATTATATTAATTTTACATAATTCTTATTTTTATTTCATGATTAATGTACATTTCCTTCAAAAAAAAATTATATTATTTTTTCTAAAAAATAACAAATATTGAAGAAAAAAACGATATACGGGCATCTTGGCGGCGCTGGACCGCCATGGTCGCCGCATAGACCGTCTAATCAACCTAGGCGTGACTAATTTCGCAGTCGTCGACGTCGTCTAATTGCCTCGAACGCCTAGAAGGGTTGCCTAGACGAGAATCAGGGCGCTCTGGTGCCATCTAAGCGGGCACATAACCCAACTTTTAATATAGTGGCTTCAAGTGAATTAGATTTTACAAATATGGCTTGAAAATTTCAGTTCTTGCATTGTTTTTAGGATGAATGACCTTAAGTGTATTGATGTCGCCTTTGAGCTATGCGGTGGCTTATTAGAGTGTTCTAACCGTAACAATGGAAATCCACCACGCCACGGTGAATCACACACATCGCGAATCAAATGATGGAAATCAAGCACCAATTTCACCAGACAGAAAATTAATTGCTGATAGATTTTGGAAGAGGAAAATGCTGATACATTTTGGAAAAAAGAAGTTATAACCTTATTGTGATCTTTATCTCACATTCCACTACTGCAAAAATAACAAACATTAAGCAGGCAAATATATGAAGCAAAAACTCTTCTGCTAAAACATAGAGCAAGCAAATATACGAAGCAAAAACTCTTCTCCGATTAGCACGATACGTGCTCTTCCAATTACCAACAACACTTGCAAACAAACTACATGAACTAAAAGCTCGAGCAAGTTTAAACAAGTTTTTGTAACGTAATATATAATATCAACATGTCCTTACTTTTCTTTTTTTCTTTCTTTTCCTTCTTCTCCCTAATTTTCTTTCTACTTCTAATGTAAATAAGCAGTTGTGATGTGGGAATTAAAACTTTTCCTTCTTAACCATCAAATTGCCAGAAACTTTCCTCAGCTCGGAAGTACAGTAAGGTGCTACTGATAAATAGAAGAGCCACTGGCCGAGCAATTCATATTCCCTCTATCTATCAACCAGTCTAATCACATTATCTCAGGCAGGCAACTTCAGTTTTACGTTATTTTTCCAGCTGCAGAAAATAAGGGTAGATTGTTATTCATTTAATTATTGGAGAGCACTTGCGACGTTGAAAATAAGGAGTTTATGATGCAATGGGGATAATAATTAATAATACCTGATAAAATAATAGTAGAAGAAGTCTGCATACAGAGCTGTTTGGACTAAGCCAGAGACAACGGCTGAAGGTAGACAAGGAAAGCGAAATAAAAAAATGAGAGGGAAAATATAAATGTCACGATAAAGCTTTTTTGACCAACTTGTCAGTTACTTACAGATCCACCGAGTGAAATGATCCTCTGTGAAATAGCGGTATATCCAGTTGAGGATGTAGAAGGCACGATAGGCTCTGTGAACAAGGATACCATCCAAGATATTGAAAAACTTTTAAGAGTTTTGAACCTCATCAATTTATAGTTTATACAATAAGAGTGTTCTAACGGTAATAGTGGAAAGTTAAAAGAACCCACAGCAAATACGCAGTAAAAATAACAGATTTGCCGAATTTTAAGAAAAAACAAGCCTTTATTTCCGAACTATTTGCCCTTCATTATGCATTTCTTATGATGAATAAAAGAACACTACGTGATGTTGGATCAAAATAATTTTGCGGTAACAAATATTAAGGGGAATGTAATGAAAGAGTAAAGAAAGTACATAGTCAGAAGTTAGTTGGCTCACATTCACTTAAGATTTATTTATTTATTTATTTTTTAACATGGACCTTGCCCAGTTGTCTTCTGCCACACCTCCAGCAAATTCATTATTTTGGTGCATAGTATAAAGAAACGTCAAATGAAACTCAAACACTGCAGCTTTTGTATGAAGATAAATTACTCAGAATGATATCTCGTCACTCATTTTTTTCCAAATTTGGATTGAAATGCCAAATAAGCTATACAGTGAGAAAATATGCAATAACTTCCATACAATGAAATCATGAGAAAGTTTGCCAAAAAGGAATAACCAGATTAACAATGTGATATGGAAAAGCGATCAGTAGTTCATTTATTCCATAAGATGATGTGCTAATTGAAACATGATTCGACATGCTTAGAGCCCCTGCGGTGGGCAAATGGGGTATGCTTTCTAGTTCGAAAACGGGCCTAGTTTACTTACTCTACCCGTAAATCATGCGTGTTCTTACAGGCTAAGAGTCTGCTAAGTCAGTCTGTCTATGGTGACATGCACTATGCTGGCGAATAAAAAAATAAAAATATGTCGCCCTATGTTATATTTAATGCAACAATCAGTATAAACAAACAGAAGAAAATCAAATTACCCAAGGAAGAAAACATATTGTCCAGTCAGGTTGTCCACGTTTCCACTTCTCTGCAATAGGACCAATTGTGGTAGAATTGAAACCGCCTCCAAATATATTGAAAATGCCCAAAATATCTGAAAAATCAATAAAATCAGCTTCAGTAGAATATATAAAGATCAAGGCAAGACTGCACTCTAAAATATCAATTGCTACACCAAATGAGAAGATTGAACATCATATGCTTAACCAAGGTTTACACATAAGTCTGCATATGGCATGAGGTGCCGGCACACTTCACTGTACCTCACAAACAAGAAAAAAGTTAAACCAAACCAACCTCCTGAAATGTGAACTTCTCGTGAACAAACAATGCCACAAGAAAACAGATCCCCACAAGAAAATAATGCCGAAATGTATCCACCTCACGGTCATATGACCGCCTCACGGCTCGGTGAAACCTCATGCACCACACAATTGCCAGAGAGCTTCCAATGAACACCACTTTCATTACTGTGTTATACACTGAAATGAAGTCGGTAAACAGATCGAGGTACCGAGCCAAGAAGACAATTGCGTACAATTCCTGAGTCTTCAAGGAAATCCCTGAATGTCATGAAGGCCTGTTAATTGCACTATCTCGTATAATGATATCATACAGTAATTTTCAAAAAAAACAATAATATTCTATAACCCAAAAAAACATACGAGCAACGATCGTGAAATTTCATTTAACCAGCAAACTGGGAACTCAAATATCAATATTCCATCAATAATTGATCCATGAAAATTTTCATGGAATTGAAAGCTGATGTCCCAAATTACACCTTCATAAGAAAATTTGAAAATAGCTATTACACACATAAAAACATGCTCCGATCACGAATCATTTGAGCTCATCAAAAAGCAGGCACTAATTTAGGTAGATTCAATTCAGAATCTACGAAAATCGAAGAAACCTCAAAAACAGATCCAAGAGAAACACAGCACAACACGAGAAGGAGACCCTAAGATAGCCCCAAACAACCAACCTCCTCAGTGACAAAAAATGACTCTACCTCACCACTAACACTTGAAAAAAATTTAAGGAATTGAAAGCTGATGTCCCAAATTACACCTTCATAAGCAAATTCTCACAGCAAATGGAACCCCCACACTACTTAGATTCCGCTACAGAACACATATATAAGAACAGCAAATCCCAGCAGGTTAAAATCAACCAAAACTCATCTTCACTCCATTAATCACTCGCTAATCCACCAATCACCATACCTACTCAAACCCACAGCACAAAGACGAAACAATGTCAAAATTAAACGAACGGATCGCGTATGAAAAGTGAAAAAAGGTTGAAATACCTAACCTGAACACGATTTGGTGGCGTAAATCTTGAGGAGGAGGACTAAAATGCTGATCAAATGCGTCATATCGCCGGCGAATCTGAAGATATTCATGGCGGCGAATTTCTTCAGATCCTTCGAGTATCGGGATTTTTCCTCTTCTCGGCTTTTGATTCAGAATGACGAGGTTTTGGAGCTCTTTACTTTGACGTAAAAAAGATCGCAATTGAATTTTTCTTGCGATTATTTTCCTGGGATTTTAATTATTCGATTAATAAAATAAAAAATAAAAAAGAAATTGGGAAGCGAGAAAATGAAAAATGGTGGGGGGCTGACGTGGCGGCTGGAAACTGACTAACGCGTCCACGAATACAGAGTGACCGGTTTCCACTTTCGAGCCTTTCTTTTTCCTTTGCGTGTTTTGTATTCGTTTTGTAAATGGACTGTCAAATTGTTACGGTCTTGTTACAAAATCATTTTATCAAGATTTGTAATCGTTAGATCAAATAACAATTATATGAAGATTAAATTATTACAAACCCCGATAAAATAATTTTATAACGAAACCGTATCATATTCTATGTAAAGTGTATCGTTAGTAAAATGGTGCATTGCTTTAAATGTGTGGATTTATGTGGCAAATTAAATAGATAATTGTGCACTTTTGATTTATAATATTATCTATCGTTTTGAAAAAAAAATAGACAATGTAAGTGCGATATAAATAAAACTGAGTTCGTCCTTCGACGCAGTCTAAGAGTTTCGTAAGGATCATAAATTAAATTTATGTTAATATATGAAAGGTTATAGGGTCACACAATATGTAATCAATTTTCCGACTAGGAACGAATCGAGAGTGTTGAATATTCAATTTGATTGGAATATTTATTTATGAGTAATAAAATTATGTTCTATTTAATATAAAATATTTAATAAAGTTAAGTTGGATCAGTACTTAATTGAATTATTAATTGGATTGTGTCCAATTACTATTAGGCTATAGAATTTCCTAAGGCCCACATAATTTGGTTTGACCTAATTATAAATAGGTCATTATTTAATTGTAGTCTTCCAATCTCATTAGATGAGAGAAGAAGAGAAGATACATCATAAAATAAAAAGAATAATGCTACTTGTACTCTTTGGTGTACCACTTGGTTTACATCCAAGGAGTATATGTACCCATTTACCCTTAATGAATAATTTAGTAAATTGTTCATTAAGATTAAATGGGTACATGTACCATTTGGATGTAAACCAAGTGGTACACCAAGGGGTACATGTAGCATGATCCAAATAAAAAACACTGTCTAGCTTTCTGGATGGAGGATTCCTAGCTTCTTTATCAGAAGGGATTCATTGGCGTTAGATCGTGCACCGGAAAATTAGATTGCGTGGATACTATAGTCGAGAATTTAGACGAACAACCGTAAGTTTCCTTAATCATTCACGCGACCTAGGGTCATATCGAATAACTATAGCTAGATCTTTGTTGTTGGTAAAAAAAAATTAATATTATGTTGCACATGTGCTTGGTTCGTACGTCTAAAATTCAACATTGAGTCGGATTTGAGTTAAGTAGTGTAAAAGGCTGATCAATCAATATTGGATATAATTGGTAGCCAATCACGCCCTAACTAACATTTTTATATATGAACTCACATAGATTATCATTTTGCTTATGTGGAACTAAACTTTAGAAAAACAAACCATTGCATTAATATGCTCCAATATTTAAATTCGAGTTCAAGCTTTTATCGAGCCAAATTCGTAAATTCGAGCTTAATTTTATAAAGACTTGTGCTTGAGTTCAAGCTTGTTTATCAATATTAATGAGTCAATTTCGAGCTGTAGTAAGTAAAACTTAAGTCTTAACAAAAGACTATGTATATATATTTTAAAAAAATAAAGTCTTAACTAAACGAGCTATAAATAAACTCGAGCTCCAACCGAGCCGAACTGAGATCACATAAAACTTATTTTGTTTAACTTTGTGATAATAACATACATGTGATATGAGGATTTTAATTTTTTTTTTCTTAAACGATATATTTTTTATCAATAAAAGCTTGAATCCTCCCTATATATTATTCCCGAATGCGTTGAGTCTACGTGGCTGCTTCTGGTGCTTCGTAATCCTACTTGGCAAAGAATCATGCTTCGTAATTAGGTTTGGACAAATAATATTGATATATTATTAATTAATAATTTAAGTTTGGACATTCCATAAATATTATTTAGCTAACTTAGGTATTTTAATATGACTTTTACTAATATAACCCTTTATTTCTTTGTAATTTTTCATACTGAGGCACTAAATGACTAATATATCCCTGACTTTTGATTTGTTTCCTTCAATTAGCTATTGAATTATAAATGTATTTTAAAAGTTGATAACTTTTGTATTTCTTATCTGTTTTACATATATAATATATCAGATTAATCATCTTTTGATGATTTTTCGATTTGATATCCATATTGTATATATATGAAATAAATAAATTATATTTTTCTTTATAATAATAAAAAATAATAATATTTATTAAAATTCATTAGAAAAATAAAATTATTTCTCAATTGATATATTTATGTTTAATATAGTTATATGTTGTAAGTTTAAAAAATTATTACAATATAACACATGTAAGTTGCACAAATAAAAAATGTCATACTAAATATATAATAATATATATTTTTATAAAAGATATTTAAATTTTCAACTACTTTTTTTCATTAATTTTAGATTTTAAGAAAAAATTAGCAAGCACCCGTGTAATATACGGGTTGTACACTATTAAAAAATAGTTGGAATGATAGAATCAATCCGCTAATAAGTTGAATCAATGTGACGAGAATTTGTATTAAAGGAATGAGAATGATATCATAAATTAAATAGCTTATTGATTGCAAAATATCAGTTTGGTGTTTACAGTATTTTTTAGTATCAAAACACTAAAAAAATCAAAATTCAAAAGATTAAAACATGAGGTTTTATTATTATTATTATTTTGTCGAAACGATAGAATAAACTCACATAAAAACCAACCACAGTTTGAATACAAACAACCCAATACTGAAGAGCCGAAAAATCAGAGAACCACACACATGTGTCCTAGACAAAACCAACTAAATAAAAGATATTAGGCAGTTGCAACACAACTGAAACCTCAAATTAATCCATAAAACACAATAAACAGAAATGGAAGAAAAAAAACAACAGAAAAGCCACCACTGAACCAAGGAACCTAGTTGCCATCGTTGTTATCCCCTTCTTCCAAAGTCAGATTGCCGGTGCACCTCTAAAATTTAGACCAATCTCTTACTGCCGCTTTGATAATAAGATAAGTTAGCCTCCAAAATGCCTCAAGGCTCAAACTGCTACAAATTCCTAGATTTTCAGAGTCGCCACAAAATGTAAGTCGAGAGTTAAATTCGGGCTTCTGAAACCTCATTCCTATCCAACTCACCAATCTGCCACAGCCAACTCTGGAAAGTTTATGTTCCCTTGGCCCCTTCCACAAATGAAATAGCACATTGAGTGTTTCAAACACGTGTATTATTACGAGGTTTAACCTTCATCAACTTCAAATGAGCCTATTTAATCTGAATGACTAATTGAACTTTATCTAATGCATCTTTGTAACTGTAAAACGTCTAAGATTATGTTTGGAAAATCTAGCTGATAAGGTAGTTTATAGCTTTTAAATAAATTTCGAGTTTATATGTGATATATTATGGCTTATGACTGAAAAATTAGTTTATATGAAGTGTTTAGTAAAATTAGCTGATAAACTAGCTGAATAAAATTTCAATGGGTTTTGTCTATGTTTCGTAAAACTAGCTGATAAGCTAGCTTATAGTTAACTGGTTACCAAACATAGGCAAGTTGAAGTGATTCGTGATAGTTTTAATTGCAAAATTCTTATGTTATAAAATATCTTACTTGTATTTATGTTATTTTCTGGAGTAAAATATTTTAATTTAAAATTATTTATATTTGTTGAAAAAATATAATTGAATTTGCCTCATTGAATATTTATAAATCATTCAACATTTGTAAAACTACACGATCTATTTGCCAAATGTGAGATGACATTTGACTGAACAAAAGAATGGAAAAAGTCCATTTTTACACTCAACGTTTGTGTGCTATTTATTTTGGTAATTCATGATTTCACTAAATCAAT